TTGGGGTACCTATCTCTTATCCGCAACTCCTCTCATACCACTGAATGAAATTTGATGAGACTTTTACAGAATCTTTATTACATATTGCTATTGTGCACCTCCTATTTTACTCTTTGATCTGACACATATGTTGGGTTTCCAATAGCAAAACATGAACACTACCGTTATATTCATATGGGAGGCGGGGTATATCATTTAGTGATATAAAATGCCACCTGAACTCTGAATCAATAATTGAGTATTTTGTTTCGAGATCAAAAATGATCTATATAGAACAAAAGGAAATAAACATGTTTTGAAATGATAAATAATATATATATAAAAAAAAAGCTTTAAAGTGTAAAACCCATATCCGAAAATTGCTAACATTTCTTTCAAAAAGAAGTACAGCTGTATATGTTTTAAAAGTTCTAACTTTGATATTTTTTCTATTTCATATTGGTAACTATTCGAACGTTGTGCTTGTTTTAATTCAGAATGGGTAGACAAAGAACAATAACCCAATCCTTGTAGACTGTTGTCGAAGACTGCGACTGAATTTATGTAATGGCATTGTCCATGTTTTTTTGTGAGAAACCCAACATATGTGTCGGATCAAAAAGTAAAATAGAAGGTGCAAAATTATAATAAAATTCTGTGAAATTGAAATGGTAAGAGAGGAGTTGCAGATAAAAGACTGTGGCATAATGGACATCCCAATTACTATATTCCCACTTTTCATTTAGCATATATTGAAACGACAGAAAAGGGGATAATTAAATGATTATGAATAAATGTGAAATAAAATATCTGTTTCATGCCCCGTTTGAACGAAGGGAAGATGTAAACTTTTTTCCTTCTGCCAGTCCTTCTGTCGGTAAAAATTGACTTAAATTTGAACAATAGTAGACAATCTCTTTTTGTTTGGTAACCATAATCAACAAATACACGCGAATAAATTCTTTATTGTTAAACTCGAAAAAAAATTCGTAAGAATGCATTTATGCTCAACATAGACATGGAACCTATGGAGATAGCAAACAATATTTAAGGTCAGACGACACGTTCCTCAAATTTATGTTTTGTATATTATTAAAAAAAATTTTCAAAAAAAGTTGATTTCTAAATTGTTTTCAAAATGTTTTTCAATATAAGTACACCAAAAATTGTGATATAGGCCATCAGAAGATTTAATAATGTATAAGCCTGGTATTAGGTCCTCTTATTTTTTGTGAGGAAACTTGTTTAAGTACCTATACTTCGAAGGCAAATTCTTAGGAAAAATTATATATTTTTGAGGAACGTGTCGCCTGACCTATAATCAAAAATTCACAAAACAATACAAAATCATCAAACCACTGAATGAAAGGTGTGACCATGAGTTCACACTTTTACAGAAAAATCTTATATTAATGAATAATTGACTAACAATTAGTATGAAAAAACGTCAGTCAGCATTTGACTTAATAAATTGTATTTGCTGACAAGGTCATTGAGTTTACCATAGAGCTTATAAAATGAAGACACATATGTTGTTTCATCAACTTGTTTGTCAATCATTTACCAATTAGTATAAAAAAAACAAACAAACAAAACAAATTTTGATTTAATAACACGATGATTACCGTTATATTCATATGGGAGGCGGGGTATATCTAAAGATGTGAATAAATGTCTTTTGAAGAAAAAATATAAAATACCAGTATAAATAAGGAATTACTTATTTTTAACGTGGGCATGTAACTAATGCAAAGTGAATAAAGCACTTCTCAACATATAATTGAGTATTTTGTTTCACCACCTACACATTCAAAAATGACCTTTTCAGTTTTGTATATAGAACAATTGCAAGGAAATAAACATTTTTTGAAATGATATGATCAACAATATATAATTTATTAAAAAAAAGTAATTATTTCATAAGTAATATAAGTGTGAAAACCATAAAAATTTCATTATAAAATGATTAAATTGTATGACATGAAAATTGTTAACATTTTTTTCAAATAAAGAAGTACAGCTGTAGATGCTTTTTTGAAAAAGTTCTGAACATGTGTGTGATATTTTTTCTAACTATATGAACATGAGCAATTGTGTGTTGGATAAAATTAACGGTATATTTAGTTCGAACGTTGTGCTTGTTTTAATTCAGTAGAAAATGGGTAGACTTTTTATAAGACATTTATATAACCCAATCCTTGTAGACTGTAAATTTGATAAAAGTACTTCTACAGTATGTAATCGCAAGAAATTTTTGCATAAAAAACAGATATATATTCAGTTATTAAGTGAGAGATTTGTTACCTTCGTTCAAATTCATTTTTTCACCGATTAAATCGGTTATTGTTTTAAATTTATTGATATTTATGAAAACCGATATATTTAAATTGTGTCATTTACAAGAAAGTCCCATCTTTATATAAAGTAAGATAACAAACAGAAAGATCTTTTTAAGTTAAGTTAGTCTCAACTTATCAAAAAAATACATAATGACCATTTATAATTTTAAAACAAACACGAAATAAGTTATCATTGTAGTCTTAGTTTCAAAAATTTTTATTATGTTCTTTTACACATTATTTAATCCCAACAGAATTGTTCTTTCCATGAAACATATGGAGATATACATGTAACGAATAGTATTTAAGATCGAAAGTCCATTAAAAAAACTACAAAAATGAAAATAGGAGCAGAGCTAACACGGACCTCAAAAACATCATAGGTGGGATCAGGCCTGGGGGGCATAAAACCTAGACAAGCTCACTTTTGATCTCAATCTCACATTTACCAAAGGAATTAATAGTGGAAAAGTGAGACTGAGATCAAAAGTGAGCTGCTAAGTTTTATGGTCACACAGGTCACCATGTGCTCCTTGTCGTGATCGAGAAATAACGGGAAAAACCGTCGTCAAATCAGTTTATAATGGACCAATAATTGGTATGAAAAACGTCAGTCAGCATCCGTTTACTTTTCTGTGCGTACAAATTTAATGACAAGTGATTAACAATTTAGAGCAAACAAGGTTTTCAACCAGTGCACAGTTAACCTGATTACAAAAAATATTTATAATCTTCTTGATTAATTATTCTGAAAAGATAGATTTCAAGAACCAATGGGAGAGGGATTGAAATGAACGAAAATCGATCGTTCTACCCATAAGCCTCTGCTCACCACAGAAGTCAACAACCCTTGGGGAAGTTTGAAAAAAAGATAAAACAACTTTGGTCATATCAAAGTAACACAATGAGTCAAAGTCATGTCTTTCTTTATTGTTTCTGTCTATTTAACAATCTATTGGAATTCCCATGAGTACCAATTGCTCTCCGTTATTAGCAGAAATATTTTTGTATTTATATGAATCAGAATTTGTGCAAAATCTTATTCGTGAAAAGAAGAAAACACTTGTTGTGGCCTTCAACTCGACATTTATATATATCGACGACGTATTGTCAGTAAACAATGGTTATTTCCACTCCTATGTCGATACGATATATCCTTGTGAGCTTGAGATAAAAGACACACAACAGAGTCTGACACATATGTTTCATACTTGGATATTTTACTTGAAAATGACGTTAATGGTAATCTAACAACCAAGCTTTATGATAAACGCGATGACTTTAACTTTTCTATCGTCAACTCCCCTTACTTATGCAGCAATATACCTTCATCACCTACATATGGCGTATATATATCACTGTTGATTCGATATGCAAGAGTATGCTCTACGTATGAACAGTTTCTAAAACGAGTTAAATTATTGACAAACAAGTTGACGAAACAAGAATATCAGCAGTCTCGTTTAAAGCCATCATTTCGCAAGTTCTTTGGTCGATACAATGACCATATCATTGCTGACTGACGTTTTCCTACTAATTGTTAGTCCACTATTTATACACTGATTTGACGACGGATTTTTCCGTTATTTCCCGATCATGACAAGGATTACACAGCGGGTGTGACCGGTCAGCAGGGGATGCTCACTTCTCCAAGGAACCTGATTCCACCTCTTATGTTTTAGAGGTCCGTGTTCGCTCTGCTCCTATTTTGTATTGTTTTATGGACTTTGATCTTGAATACTGTTCGTTATCTCCATATCCTTTATTTTAAGATATCTGTTGCATACATTGAAAGACTTATGATAATTATGAGCATATAGCTATGATATGACAATTAAACTGCAAGAAAAAAAAAACTGCACTATACAATGTATAAGTGCTCGAAAAACAAAGGTTTCGTTTTTTCGTGTTTGTCAAGGTCACGCCACTTTTATTTTTAGCTCAAACTTGTAAACAACATTAACTGGAGCATGAAAGGTGAGAGATGTGTTCTAAAAACGTTTTTTAAAAAAAATGCATCAACATTTTTGGTCTATGTACATTAATTTCTGGGTATTTGAGACCATGGTAAGACGATGGTAGCTATAGAAACTTATTCAACTTTTCTTAGCATGCATACAATAGGGAAGAAGAAGTATTTAGCAATATATTATTTTGGGGGCATAGTGAAATTATTTCTATTTTTCTCCATAAAAATAGAATTTTTAGGTTCTTAACACGGGTCACGCAAAAATTCTACATTTGTCAATTTTCCCCTTTGTGCGTCACGGTGTCTCTTTAATATTTAATTTAACTGTATTTTGCATATAAGAATGAAAATAATTTTCGTATCTATTCTGGCCTGATGGAAAATTTATATAACTGAAAGTCTATTTCTTCAAAAATATGACACTTTTTAAATCAATATTGAAGGCGTGAGCATTCAACAAATGTTACAATAACATCTTTAAATAATTACTTTAAGCAACATAAGGCCAATTGATATGTCAGGAGATATGAATTATCTACACTGATGCCACCTTAAAGTATCTGACAAAGACAAATCTGTATTATATTACCTTCGACATAACCCAGTTAAAACTTTACAATAAATTAAGAAATACCTTGCAGCAGGACTGTCTTTTCGGTATGTTTCTTAAAAAAATCATTTTTCCCAATTCATAATTTCCTATCTCCTATATAGTATTAGAAAAGACATTTCACCTCTTTTGTAGCAGGCATAGTCCTAGAGAAGATGTCTTTAAAAAATAAATTGGTTTTCATTTGCTTTCTTGGAGTAGTATCTTGTGTCGAATGGGGTAAAAAATCTTTAAATCATAATTTATTTTCTAAGAATTTTAATTAATATTTATCTCTACTTAATATTTGAATCATTTTCTTTACAGATAATTGCACGTTTAAATCTGGAAGATTCAAAGGTAATTACGCAATATCCATACCTCTCTAAATGTATTTTCTTTTTGTTTTATATAAATTCCTCATTATAAATATGTTCAAAGTACAAAATAAAAATTTCGAAATGTATGCTACTTTTTTGTCTTTATGCCTAAATTATTTTTGTTAAGTATAATGAACACCTTCTTTTTAAGGATGTCCACATGATGGAATGTGCATACCCTTCGGTAAAGAGTGGGCCGTTCGGGAGGGGAAAGTCATCAGATGTGTGGGGAACAAAGATAAATTCTACATAGAAATAGTCAAAGGAGGTCAGAATCAAGCTATTTATATAAGTTCAGTTGTCAAGAAAAATCAACTGAAGTATAACGAAATCTGTATAAAGTGTCAGTGTATTTTTACAGTTTAGTTGGATTTTAAGCTTGCCCATGTGACAAGCTACAATATGTAAGGTTCCAATAATATTTTAGCTCGTCTTAAATTGAACTTTAACCTTTTTCTTTAAAGGCTTTTGTAAGGATTATAAAGAAGGATTTAAAGGTGAGATGGTTACAGCCTTTAATAAAAATTTAAAAGTTAAAAATATATAACAAAAAAAAAAAAAAACAAAACAAAACAAAAAACAAAACCAAAAATTGATACCCAAACAAATTTGCGAAGTTGAACATAAGATATCCTCATATTATTATATGTATCAAGTTAATTGTCGATTTATTTAGGGTGTATATACCAAGGCCTTTGTCAGCCATTTGACTTTGACTGGAAAAACTTTGAAGGTGCAACATTAAGATGTACAAAAGATAAAAATAAAGGCTATAAAATCATCACCGTTAAACCAGGTAATCCTTGTATAGTATGTATTTTTCTTTCTAAAATTCAAACTGGAAAGTAATACTTTTCTTTTGATTGTTATAAGAATTTATTTATCATGCCAGAAGGATGCAATAGGGAGTTTATTTCATTTCAATATACAACTGAATATTGCTTGAAATTTACACTTTGTCATGTTGTAAATTTTAAATACTAAGCGTGGCATTAAAGATAAAATATATTGTGTTGAAAGAAAATATCATGCCATGCCGTTTCAAATTTTATAATAATCTATTTAACCTGAGAAAATGATGCATAAATCTCTTTTAAATTAATTTCTGCATTTAACTTTATTTTCAGGATTTTGTCGTGATGAACAAGGCGGGTATATCGGTGAGAGTAGCCAATTCTCAATTTATCTAACAACTAATTTACATTAATTTGAAAAAAATTAAAATAGATAGCATCTAACTTTATACATTCAAGTAGAAAACGGTTGATAGTAGCAATAAGAAAGATAAAATAAAATATAGTCAAATTTGGTTACCAGCTTACTTATATCTAATATTGATCAGGTTGTATTTACGACACGAAATGTCATCCTTTTGGAAAAACCTGGATGACACGTGATTGCCATACCGTGACATGTGCAGGAAACAGGTGGAGTTTTAGAACAAGAGTCATCAAAGAAGGTAAATCCAAAGAAATATTAACTCTCAAGTATCTATATTTATAGAGTCTTTATTTTAGGTTCATAGATATTTTACCAGTATTTTATCAAAACATGTTTTCGTTTTTGTATATCTGAAAGGAATATAATACACATGTATCTAATTATGTGTTTTTCTTTAGTAGTAATGAATGTGCTAAGAGTGTTATTTAATTGTTGAATATCGAGTTATTAACTTTGTCATATGTAGACTTACGGGAAAAAACAAGAAAACCTGTTAATTGTTTTCTTTCTGAACAAATAAACAAAAACACAAGCTAAACATTTGTTATTTTTGGCAATTGAAATATAACGAAAACATACTTATGAGAA